GCCAAAAGCAGGCCAATGGTAAAAAATGGGTCATTGATGAAAGAGGACAAAGGAGGCTGACACGAATTGTGCAGAGAAACAGACGGGCTACAGTTAGTCAACTGACAGTCCAGTACAACTGTTGTGATGTGACTTTCATTAATATGATGACTGTTATTTATCGAATCAACTAACTATGTTTAATTGTTACTCAATTAAATGAATCATGTAACAATTAACTCATTAGGATTTGGGGCACCACGGAATAAGTTGTTTATAGAGTTACCATCTCCCAAATTAAACTCTAAAAGGTCTTTACCTATCACTATGTATAAAACAGTCAAAGTATCAATCATTACCACTTATCAGTCGCCATTCTGAATGGTCGCAGAATTCTTGGATCCGCAAGAACCCCAGCTTTACTTATGATTCAGATAAGAGCGTCTGCTAAATGACTAAAATGTAAATGTAACAGTGGACTAATGAAAAGAAAATACCAAAAGATAGTTTTTGAGTGGAGTTCCACTTTAATGTTTAAACATTTAGCTAAACATTATTTAAGGTTCTGATTAAATTACTATATTTACAACGTGTGTTTTTATAATATACTCTTGTTAATTTACATCTGAAACCCCCTACTTTAATTGGAAATGTCTGTATTTTGAAGTGGCAATTTACCCCAAAATGTGGCTATTTAGGATGTATTTTTAGTTGATTTACATCTTAAAACATCTACTTTAATCAGAAATTACTGTATTTTAAGGTGTATTTCTATAGAATTACTGTTGAAAACTGTAATTTACAGTAATTTACCCCTAACATTGGCTATTTAGAATGTATTTCGACAATATGTTTGAGTTAATTTACATCTTAAAACAGGTACTTTAATCAGAAATGACTGTATTTTGATTGTGTATTTCCATAACTGTTAAAATGTCAACTGTAATTAGTTTATTTACAGTGAATTTAATGTATTTTGACTCTGATTTCCACGTAAAAGTACATTTACATATAACAAATTAGAATAATTTGTTATAATTGGCATAAACCATTATTTTACAGGCTATAGGAAGTCTGTTTAGGAATATCAAGTTATTAAAAAAGCTTATTGTTTTCCTTTTATCATTTTTGTACCAAAAAGAAAATGCATTTGCACTTTCCTCTATTGGACCATCTGTAGGTAGGATCTTAATTTGAGCCAGTTTGCTGCAGCAGGAAAAGAATCCTGGCGCAACAGGAAATGTTAATTATTATGTGGATTATAATTAATTATCCTTTTTAGGGGTTGATACATTTTTAATTGGGATAAATCAAGTCTGACATTTCTATGTGGAAATTACAAACTTTAGAAGCCTTTCTAAAACTCAAATACACTACAAGCTTGAATTTCCTGCTTTGCAGGAAATTTCTCAGCAACAAAAGAGTGATCAAATTAAGATCCTGCATCTGTAACTGGCAAATCACAGGAATTCCGATCGCTTTCTGTGGTGATGAATACGCTTATAGGCTATTTACCTGTTTGTTTACCTTTTCACGTGGTAAAGTCACCACAGGCCATATCAACGGTGATGGTAGGATTATCTTATAACGTTTGGTTCGAAATGCGAATGGATTCATAAATCATAACAAATAAGGTTTTGAAGTGTCCTATATCTAGGAGATATACACTGAGTGTACAAAATATTAGGAATGCCTTCCTAATATTGAGTTGCATGCCCTTTTGCCCTCAGAACAGCCTCAACAGCCTCGTTAGGGCATGGACTCTACAAGGTGTCGAAAGCGTTCCACAGGGATGCTGGCCCCTGTTGACTCCAATGCTTCCCACAGTTGTGTCAAGTTGGCAGCGTCCAGCAGCATTGCAGTTCTTGACACACTCAAACCGGTGCGCCTTGCACCTACTACCATATCCCGCTCAAAGGCACTTAAATATTTTGTCTTGCCCATTTACCTACTGAATTGCACAGATACACAATCCATGTCTCAATTGTCTCAAGGCCTTCTTTAACCTGTCTCCTCTCCTTTTATCTACACAGATTTTTTAAATTGATTTTTTAACACATATTTAACCCCTTATTTTTTGGGGCCCAAAACTACCTCCGTACTTTCATTCATTTGTATGGGTTAACTTTAGACGGTCCGTAACGCGGAGAGGCCTATTCAAACTGAGAATACCATTGTGTTTGTGAGAGTCTACCCCTTTCTACTGTGGGCTCATATTAGTTTGTAGGCCAAACCTTTCAGATGGTTTACTGAGAAGACTCTGCCACTTTCCACCGTAGATGCGGAAGGGCGACATAGGAGGATGCAGTGGATTGAGACCCAGCCCATGCAAAGAAAACAGATATTGCTAGCTTAAACTGATGGATTTTTTAATTATGTTACTTAGATACTTGCATCAATAGACTCTGGGGGTTATATTGAATCTTTGTCCAGCTCCTGTGAAAAGTTTGGATGTGCGTAAAACCCTCTAGTCTAAGTTGCCTTAATTAATATTACAGTATATGCCCACAGGGAGCAATTACAGTATGGTGCCTGTAACTGTATTTAGACATGGCCTATTTCAAACTAGTTGTTAAATTTTTTATAGAATTTAATTAGAATTATTCACTGTCTTTTTTTTAGGCCTTATCAATAGTGAATTTCTTGCTTATTGACAACGTTTGGCATGTCCATGGCTGAGACATAATGCAATTTACAGTAGGCCTAGCCCCTATATTAGTGCAATGCTATGTTAAACAATATATTTTCATAGGCCTATTGAAGCCATGCAATTACTTAGAACAATGTAGACTTCAAACATGTTCAACAGGCTATTGTCAAACGGCTGATGTGGATGTGGTGTAGGAGTCAAGCGCAGGACACAGAAGCTTCGTCCAACAGACTTTACTAGACGACAAAAATACAACGAAATGGGCCTCAACAAACCCGGAGGCGAACGATTACGCAGCAGTGCGTAAAACACCTCAATACTAACAGAGCACGAAAACAGTGCGACTGTCCTAAAAATACATAAGGCAAAATGAGCAGCACCAAAAGACAGGCGGAATTATTACACACAACTCACGACTAACAAACGATAAACTTATAGGAGACATAATTAACACTAAAAGGAAACAGGTGTACAAGGAAGACAAAACCAAACAAACATCGATAACATACAACGGTGGCAGCTAGTACTCCGGGGACGACGAACGCCGAAGCCTGCCCGAGCAAGGAGGAGGAGCAGCCTCGGCCGAAACCGTGACAGCTATTTAGCAAATATGGGATAGGCTTATATTTTGTTATTTTGTGTCTGTAGGGTATTTTATAAACTAGACTATAGCATAGTAATGTTTGAATTGGTTGAATTGGTGTTGAAAACAACACAATACATAAAATACTGTTAATACACAACTTAAAGGAACCAGATACTGTATTTAGCCTTGGAGCACGTTCTGATTGGCCAGTGAGGGGTCATCCTTGACCCACCTTCAACCTGTTTATTAATCAAAACCCAGCCCTTTTGCGCCACCGTCAATTACTGCGCCCATAAAATAGTAAAAATATTTCTGACACACCACCTGACCTATGGCACTACTCCCAGCGCTAAGATTTACCATTGCGTTATTACATTTTTTTATAAAGCCCTTAGTGTCCTAGCATCCCTGTAGGGGGCCAGTGGGGGAATTGCCCAGCATTAATGCTAGCTAACCCGCTAGGGTGTGTGTGTGTGTGTTCCCTCGCTAACCTGCGACAGCATCCGTAACTGTACATCAAGAAGCCCGGCGAGGCTTCGTGTCAATCACGGTTAAGCTCTGCTCCACTCCCTCCCTCCTTCTCTCCCCCACGGCTCAGTGGCAGGAGTACCAGGAGTACCAGTAATTGACCCTCGTTATGGAGAAACGGCATCATGAAACAGGCCCTGATGACCTTCTTTTTTCTGTTGTTTTTCCTCTGGGGGTACTTTTCATTGGTGAGATTTTGATTGACAGCTACTGTGGACTCCTGGGGGGTTCTTTCCAAAAAGAAATTAGTGTTGAATTGAGGGTGCGTATGTGCGTGCGCGTGTGTGTTCCCTGATTGTTCCACGACAGACCTGATAAGCTATTCCGACCCACAGTAGATCACCTCCAGTGTTATTCCATTTAATGGAATAATACACCTCAGCAGCACTCATGTCTGACAGTTTTACAATGATCCTTTCTCTCCATAACAGGCTTGACCAAAAAAGGCTGGTTATTATGGGCTGTTTGAGCAGCATGGTAATCTATGAATCGAGCAGCAGCCTCTCTGAGTTCACTAGATAAAGACAGTTGGCACCCTGTTCTGCCAGCACGGATATCAATACCCTTTATCCTTATCAGAGGGTCTGATCCTCAACATAGGAGCCTTGAGAGAGCGAGAGAGAGAGAGAGAGAGAGTGTGTGTGTGCCCTCCGAGCAGCATGTCTTCCCCAGTGATTACAGACCAGTCCAGCCGCAGGGCTTCACAAGTCACTCTACATAACCTGAGATTGCACCATTGTGTAAAAAGCAGTGGAGAAGTACAATCTTTTCACGTTGGGCGCAGAGCAATTCTCAGAACAAAGTGTAAACAGCGTGGCACCATTAAACTTTTAAGAAATGGCACAGAAAGATCCAAATGGCACCGGAGAGGCCGTGGCATGCAGACATGATATTTTCCACCCAGCATGGCCTGAATCTAAATATGAGTCTGCTCATGCAGGGCAAGCTGTGTCCCGTTTGTCCACTCTGTAATTGGAACAGTAAAATAATATGTTGTATTCTTCTCTCAATACTCAGAGCACGAATGTGAAAAACAGATAAATGTTGTCCTGGTCTTGGGCTGTCCACTCTTCATTCTGTCAGAGGGGACTGCATTGGGTTGTGGGCTGTGTCTGGCTGAAACATGCTCTCTGTCCTCACTATGACTATGAAAGAGGGTGTTTGCAAATGAAGTGTGTGTGGGGGGGCGCATGCACATCCCTGCCTGTGTGTGTGTTTGTTAATGTGTGTGTGCGTGCTAATGTGTGTCTGTGACATTGCAGGGAGTTTGGCCGCTGGAAAGTGAACAGCCTGGCTCAAGAGAGACAGAATAACAATGGTCTGGCCCTGCCCCTGGACCCCGAGTTCCTCCAGACCATCAGGCACCTGGGCAGACGGCCCAGCCTCAGCTCCATCACAGACAGCATCATCAGGAAGTACGGAACACACTTCCTGCTCTCAGCCACCCTGGGGGGTAAGAATAATATAATATTTATTTATTGGTGTAATGATTGGAAGACCTTTTTTCTTTCAACTCAATCCTCTGTATGCTGCTGATGCTCAGCTTCAAAAACACATACAGTAAATTCTCTCTTTGCTGTAAAGGTGTTGTATTGGATGTGTTGTTCTATTCCCCGGCCCAGTTCTCAGTGCATATTCTGCTCCACTCTGTGCCCCTGTGTGTGTTTAGGGGAGGAGTCGTTAATGATCTTTGTGGACAAGCGGAGGTTGAGTAGGATGGTGGAGGTGAGAGAGGCCAACAGTACGGCCGTGACTCTGGAGGCCCTGCACCAGCTGGCTGCCTCCTACTTCATTGACAGAGAGAGCACACTTCGCAAGCTGCACCACATCCAGATAGCATCCACAGCCATCAAGGTACCCCCCCCTAGCTGGGTCCATTAATCACTGTGTCAGTCATTATTACTGAGTAAGGAGTGTGATCAGCTGAGTTTGCCCTTTGCACAGCAGGACATCTTTGTCAGACTCAGCATTCGGAGTGATTAGTTTCCATGTGAGCCTGTGATTTATTTACACGTACCTGTGGCAATGACAGGATTATCATTGAGGAATTTCCCATGCATAGGCACCTTGTATTAGAGCTGTGTTTCCCAAATGGCCGTTTTGGACCAGCTGGTGAGCCACTCGTGTCCAATTTACATTTCTTTAAGAGTGATGGTTTAAAACTGGACTGCTAGACTGTTTTGTACATCTTGAGGCTTGGGGAACCACTTCTAAAGAATGTGGGGAAGTGGAGAAGGTGTGTGCTAAAATACATGTGACAGTCGTCCCTAACACAATTGTACAGTTCAGCATTGATTTTGAACATGATCTAAGATGAGGTAGAGTTAAAAACTCACTTGCAGTTTGAAAGCATCCATCCATTTATCATTGACTTATCCCGGTGCTCTCCCGTCTTGGGCCACCACAGACAGATAAGGCCCTATATTCCTTAAAGTGAATTGGCAACAGGACACATCATGGCTGCGTTGGCAGCGTCCTCGTGGACAAAGTGCTGCTAAAATAGTCTGATTGAGATGAATGGAGCAGAAGTCATCTGAGGTGCATTTGTTTGGGAGGCAGTTTCAGGTGACTGATGTGAAATATTCACAGCAACAGCTGCCTTTAATTCAGGCCATGGATTTTTACTTCACCAAGATGAAGACGGATGGCAAAACAAAAGCGTCTCTTAGAAAGAGAGCACCGGACAACGGCTTTAAGAGAACAGATTTTCAAGAGGAGAAAAGCCTGTCATCCTGGTATAATGTAGGAGCTATAGCTATAACACTCCGGGTGCAAAATAAAGGGAAGGGGAAAATGAAAAAGATAAAGAGGGGCGGGGAGGGGAAGTGGTGCCTCTACAATTACGCATCAGAGTGATGAATCCTCGGTTCTATTTCAACAATTTCTTAGAGAGCTTGCCCCATTTGTCAGCCATTTTGGGTATGAGTTAAGGTGTCACACGCTAATGAATAGAAGACGTATGAAGAATACTGGGGTTCCGCCATCTGTAATAAATGGTGCTTTAACCTACCAGCGAGCAAGGAACACTGACAGGAGACACTAACAGCGCTGGGTGGACATAAATCAAATGGTTAAAGTTTGATTTACAATCCAGGTCCGTTTCTACTAAGGTTTATTACAATTACCCTGAAAAACAACTAGCCATCGATGGGGAGAGGACAGAGGAGTGTTTTTGACCCAATTTGCTGCCCTGCTACTGCAGTGTTTAGTCATTCATGTCCTCTTATGGTTAATTTGTAGGAGAATAACGAGAAATTTTGAGGCTGAGCTTTGGAAATCAAGGAAATCTAGTGAGAAATGATGGTAGCGGTCGTTCATGATGTAGAACATATCTGATGGGGATAAATAAAAAACAAAGCACTCTGTCTTGTTTTATCCCTTGTGTATCAATGAATTATTCATTTCAGACAGATTTTGTCATCTTCATTATTATATTGTTGTGTCCTCTTTGACATTTTGCGATGTCCTCCCCTTCAAGAAAAAGACACCCTCAGATGCAAAAACAAGAGGAAGTTTGTTATTAAGGTCTTATATACTCTGGGGGAACTTTACAAATTAGATAAAGGTATGAGCTGCAGTCGGCTTCGCTTACCCTTTAACCTCTGTCTGGGTCGTCGTCAGTCAAGCTACTAATTTGCAAGCTGTGAGTAATCTTAACCTTTAGCCAGCTCTGTTTCCTCTCTCTGCAACATTGTCTGGCAAGAGCACCATAATTATTAAGCTCTGAGAGAAGGGAAGAGGGACACTAATTTGTTCCTAATCAAAAGGAGTCTCTCTCTCAGCCCCATCCAAGTTGGTGAAACAGACTCCCATCTAAAACAATATATCATAGTTTCCCTTGCCACAGTATTAACTCCTACTTTCTTCTCTTAAAGGTCCCCTGCTACTCCCCTGCGGATTTCAATGAGCCTCCATTTATTTAGGGGGAACAAATATCATCTCATGCTAGTTTATTTTTTCTTCAAGTCGATAAGCTGATCCCCAGCTCTGGTTGACATCGTAGTGTAAGCCAGTGCAACAAAGTGATTTTAAAACATCTTGCCGGAATCCTCAAAGACTGTCTAAACACGCGTAAACACATCTAGGATGTAAATGGGGATATGCGGCATCGACTAAGGCTATGCCTAGTGATTAAAAACAGGCTGATTCTCTGTGGTGCCGTGAAAAAAGCAATTTCCAAAGAAGCGCCGGTCCCAAACATTAATGGCATTCCATACTTTTTTAACAGGTTGTTGAATAGGCCTCTTAATACCCATTATTATTTAAATATCTGACACCTGGGGCTCACTTACTGTCATTTTATGTATTTTATTATGCTTTTGTGGAATTATTCATAGGTGGATTTAACAAAAGGCATGATCTTCATCAGTTTCCATGCCTCTGCCTTAGTGGTATCATGATAATATTAATAACGCTTTAGAAAATAATTGAGCTTCCTCGTCAATTGAGGCATTGCACCATGCATATAAAAGTATACAAGGGTTGTTACTGCATTGCTTTGGAGCACTTGTGATATGCTTATCTTTTCTCCATTCTCGCTTAAAACCATTAGCTATTCCCAAACACTAAACACTAGCAAGACCTTTAAACAATTCCCAAGTGGCAGATTCTTTGGTTGAGGCAGGGGACTCCGGTCCCTGCCTTAATCAGAGGAAGCATCCATAGTTTGAGTGAGTGAGTGCTGGTCCCTTATATCAGGTCTCGTGTGGCTCAGTTGGTAGAGCATTGTGCTTGCAACGCCAGGGTTGTGGGTTCGATTCCCACTAGGGACCAGTACAAAGAAAAAAGAATAGTAGAAAAAAATATGCTGTCACTACTAGTAGTTGTTTTGGATAAGAGTGTCTGCTGAATTACTTAAATGTAAAATATGATGATGCATACCAGACACGTAAAAAAAAAAAAAACACGTCTCAATCACATCACATAACCAAGTAACACAAACTGCCTATTCAAGGAGAGCCTTTAAGAGCAATCACCAGACCCATTAAATGCTGCTGTTAGAATTTCTGATAGTCAGCACTCGATTATGGCATATTAATACAACCCTCACTCGCTCTCTCCCCAACTCATTTACATTTTTCTATCTACCAAAGTCCCCATAAGTTACTGAACATACTTTTATACAAACAACTGTTAAGAGTATTTTTTTTTTCTAAATCCATTTCTTATAGAAAGGACTAAGTGTGCATATGCTTGGCTTCGCTTGGTCCTTGTTGCAGATGGTCTCATTGCTATGCATAGAAAACCCAGATTTAAATTTAAAAATGTCCCTTTAAGTCGGACATCTGTCTGTGTTAGAAATTAATCTGCCCACCCCTCTAGACATTTCTCGGATTTTAATTATTTGCGTCGAAACATCACAAAAAAAAAAATGGAAATGCCGTCGATAGGCCTGCTGAAGTTGTGGTTTTCTCTCTCTTTTTCACCTACCCACCAACCCTCTCTCTTTCCCCCCCTCCCTCTCCATTTCAAAGTAACTCAGACCTCAATGTTGAATGAAAATGAAAAATAATATTATGTGATTATCCTATAATGAATCACTGATGCTTATATAATGAAGGTTGGTCATGGTTCTGGTGTCTTAATGCTTTGAATGCACACCTTTTGATACAGTTCAGTTTTTGTTCTTCTTCTTTTTCTTTATTGTGTCTCACCCTTCACTCTGTTTTCCCAGTGACCTTAAAGTAGGTGTCAAAGAATGCTAACTTTTCTGCCCACAGAGGGAAAGGAAAAGTGTCCCATTTCTTCTGGATGTAGAACCATAGTTCCTCATTAATCTACACTGGTGATGTGGTTACTTTTATCGGCCCTTTGGGGAAATATTAAAAGAAGGAGCCACTGTGGCATTAGGGGAGAATAACTTGCAAGTGACGAGGAGGGAGATGGATAGGCCCGCAGGCTGCCAGTTTGTCTTGGAAGGGTGGCAGAGAAACCTTGATATACGGGAGCTTTAAATCATCCTTTTGTCAAGGATGATTGAGCTGTGATTGTGAATGATCTAACCACTCACTCAGAGGAGAACAGAGATCCCCGTGTCTTTCTGATTTGTCAGCGTGAATCTAGTGATATGTATGTGAGGCTTGCATGTAACTGCATCTTTCAAGACTTAAAGCAAAATTGGAAGGAGTTATTCTTTTTTATTTTTTGTTACTTTTTCTTCATACGTAGTTCTTTCTTTTACTTTTTTGCAGACTCCACATTCTTCTCTCCCCTGTGTCAGATGACAGGGCTTTTGGGTTGCATTGCTACTGTATGTCATCACTTTCTCTGCATAGACAAGAAACCCACTCTCACCCTTAAGCTTCTTCATGTACCATACTTTTTGGATATAACATCATGTGGCCTATGAGCAGAGTATACTGAATAGTAAATATGTCTAAATGCATAACCTTGGTGTTGCATCATACACCAAATAACTAAACTACTGTATCTAGACTACTTGTAATGTTTGTCGATGTGAACATTTAAACGTGTCTCAATAAGGTGTAAAATATTTAGTCCTGTGGAAGTACAGATGGTAGGAAGTGAGTGAGTGTACTATTGTTGTTGTTAATCTCATTCCACATGACATTCAGCTCTGCATCCCTACATTTTTTATGACTTTAGTGGCTCTCTCTCACAGTGTAGTGGAGTATTGCCATGTGCCTCTTTCTTTCCCGTTAGGTGACCGAAACCAGGACAGGCCCTCTTGGATGCAGTAACTATGACAACCTGGACTCAGTCAGCTCTGTTCTGGTTCAGAGCCCTGAAAACAAGATTCATCTGCAAGGTCGGCCATCCATAATTGAACCCACCCAGACGTTCTGATGGAATTGTCACAGTTTATATTCTCTGCCAAGCGTTAGACAAGAGGCACCAGAGTGTCAGAAGGAATATAGCTTCAATCCGTCTTTGTCTGCCATTGGAAACCGAACCCCTGGATTCCTAAGTGAATCACAGGGATTTGTAGACATGTATGAACAAGCCAGTGGAAATGTATCTATAAAGTGACCAGAGAGTACCTCCTCTTCTGTCCTATAGTAACTTACAGTAGAAAGGCTATAGTTACTACAGTATTTGAGTCTAGTTTACATTATTACAGTAATTTGTCTTGTAGTTTAGCCAGTATTGTCATATATAAACTGTACCATATCCTCTCCTCTGTCCTCTCCCCAGGTCTCCAGGCCATCCTACCAGAGTACCTGAGGGCCAGGTTCGTCCAGGCGGCTCTGAGCTACATCGGCTGTAACGAGGAGGGTCAGTTTGTGTGCCGGGACAATGACTGTTGGTGCCGCTGCAGTCCAGGCTTCCCCCAGTGTAACTGCCCCGACGTGGACCTGAGGGCCATGGAGGCCAGCCTACTGCACATCAGGGACACCTGGAACATGGCCAACCAGGACTTTGAGGAGTCGGGTATGGAAGTATGACATTGACAATACACTCACAGAGGCGTATATAGAGAGTTTGTAACATTGAAGATACTTGCACAAATGTACTGCTATGTCAAATCAAATCAAATTTTATTTGTCACATGCGGCGAATGTAACAAGTGTAGACCTTACCGTGAAATGCTTACTTACAAGCCCTTAACCAACAATGCAGTTCAAGAAATAGAGTTAAGAAAATATTTACTAAATAAACTCAAGTATAAAATGAAAAGTAACACAATAAAATAACAATAACGAGGCTATATACAGGGGGTACGGGATAGAGTCAATGTGCGGGGGTACAGGTTAGTCGAGGTAATTTGTACATGTAGGTAGGGGTAAAGTGACTATGCATGGATAATAAACAGCGAGTAGCAGCAGTGTAATAACGAAGGGCGGGGTGTCAATGTAAATAGTCCGGGTGGCCATTTGATTAATTGTTCAGCAGTCTTATGGCTTGGGGGTAGAAGCTGTTAAGGAGCCTTTTGGACCTAGACTTGGTGCGGTAGCAGAGAGAACAGTCTATGACTTGGGGGACTGGAGTCTTTGACAATTTTTTGGCCCTTCCTCTGACACCGCCTAGTTTATAGGTCCTGGATGGCAGGAAGCTTGGCCCCAGTGATGTACTGCGCCGGTACTGGGCCGTACGCACTACCCTCTGTAGCGCCTTACGGTCGGATGCCTAGCAGTTGCCATACCAGGCGGTGATGCAACCGGTCAGGATGCTCTCGATGGTGCAGCTGTAGAACTTTTTGAGGATCTGGGGACCCATGCTAAATCTTTTCAGTCTTCTGAGGTATGCCACAGAACCTTACACAACACGGAAATCAGTGTGACGTCTGCTGTCTATGGGTTCACATGTACAGTACCAATCAAAAGTTTATTTTTTACTATTTTCTACATTGTAGAATAATAGTGAAGACATCAAAACTATGAAATAACACATACAAAATCATGTAGTAATCAAAAAAGTATAAATATCTCAACCAGCTTCACCTGGAATGCTTTTCCAACAGTCTTGAAGGAGTTCCTACATATGCTGAGCACTTGTTGGCTGCTTTTCCTTCACTCTGCGGTCCGACTCATCCCAAACCATCTCAATAGGGTTGAGGTCGGGGGATTGTGGAGGCCAGGTCATCTGATGCAACACTCCATCACTCTCCTTCTTGGTCAAATAGCCCTAACACAGCCTGGAGGTGTATTGGGTCATTGTCCTGTTGAAAAACAAATGATAGTCCAAATAAGCCCAAACCAGATGGAATGGCGTATCTCTGCAGAATGCTGTCGTAGCCATGCTGGTTAAGTGTGCTTTGAATTCTAAATAAATCACAGACAGTGTCACCAGCAAAGCACCCCCACACCATCACACCTCCTACTCTATGCTTTACGGTGTCTCACAAAGACACAGCGATTGGAACCAAAATTCTCCAATTTGGACTCCAGAATAAAATAACAAATTTCCACCGGTCTAATGTCCATTGCTCATGTTTCTTGGCCCAAGCAGGTCTCTTCTTATTATTGGTGTCCTTTAGTAGTGGTTTCTTTCCAGCAATTCGACCATGAAGGCCTGATTCACACAGTCTCCTCTGAACAGTTGATGTTGACATGTGTCTGTTACTAGAACTCTGTGAAGCATTTATTTGGGCTGCAATTTCTGAGGCTGGTAACTCTAATGAAATAATCTTCTGCAGCAGATGTATCTCTGGGTCTTCCATTCCTGTGGCGGTCCTCATGAGAGCCAGTTTGATCATAGCGCTTAATGGTTTTTGTGACTGCACTTGAAGAAACGTTCAAAGTTCTTGATATTTTCCGTATTGACTGACCTTCATGTCTTAAAGTAATGATGGACTGTCATTTCTCTTTGCCTATTTGAGCTGTTCTTGCCATAATATGGACTTGGTTTTTTACCAAATAGGGCTATCTTCTGTATACCCCCTACCTTGTCACAACACAACTGATTGGCTCAAACACATTAAGAAGGAAAGATATTCCACAAATTAACTTTTAAAGAGGCACACCTGTTAATTACATTTACATTACATTTTAGTCATTTAGCAGACGCTCTTATCCAGAGCGACTTACAGTTAGTGAGTGCATATATTATTTTTTTATTTTCTTCATACTGGCCCCCTGTGGGAATCGAACCCACAACCCTGGGGTTGCAAACGCCATGCTCTACCAACTGAGCTACATCCCTGCTGGCCATTCCCTCCCCTACCCTGGACGACACTGGGCCAATTGTGCACTGCCCCATGGGTCTCCCGGTCGCGGCCAGCTACGACAGAGCCTGGATTTGAACCAGGATCTCTAGTGGCACAGCTAGCACTGTGATGCAGTGCCTTAGACCACTGTGCCACTCGGTAATTGAAATGCATTCCAGGTGACTACCTCATGAAGCTGGTTGAGAGAATGCCAATAGTGTGCAAAGCTGTCATCAAGGCAAAGGGTGGCTACTTTGAAGAATCTAGCATATTTATATAAATATTTATCTATTATTCTACAATGTAAAGATTTTTACAAATAAAGAAGAACCCTTGAATGAGTTGGTGTGTCCAAACTTTTGACTGGTAGTGCATATTTAGAGGCTGAATTATTCATATTAAATGTCAGGCCACTCTTGAGAAGTCTGTAAACATATACAGTGCCTCCAGAAAGTATTCACACCCCTTGACTTTTTCCACATTTTGTTGTTTTACAGCCTGAATCTAAAATGGATTAAATTGAAATTTGCTGACACTGGCTTACACACAATACCCCATAATGTCAAAGTACAAATTAATTAAAAGTGAAAAGCTAAAATGTATTGAATCAATAAGTATTCAACCCATTTGTTATGGCAAGCGTAAATAAGTTCAGGAGTAAACATTTGCTTAACAAGTCCAATAATAAGTTGCATGGACTCTGTGTGCAATGATAGTGTTTTTTGAATACCTCAATTCTGTACCCCACACATAAATATCTGTAAGGTCCCTCAGTCGACCAGTGAATTTCAAACACAGATTCAACCACAAAGACCAGGGAGGTTTTCCAATGCCTCACAAAAAGGGCAGACATTGAATATCCCTTGACTATGGTGAAGTTGCTTTTCTACACCCAGTCACTACAAAGATACAGGCGTCCTTCCTAACTCATTTGCCGTAGAGGAAGGAAACTGCTCAAGGATTTCACAATGAGGCCAATGGTGACAGTTACAGATTTTAATGGCTGTGAAAGGAGAAATATTAGGATGGATTAACAACATAGTAGTTACTGCACAATACTAACCTAATTGACAGAGTGAAAAGAAGGAAGCCTGTACATAATAAAAAATATTCCAAAACATGCATCCTGTTTGCAATAAGGCACTAAAGTAAAATGTCAAAAAATGTGGCAAAGAAATTAACTTAATGTCCTGAATACAAAGTGTTCTGTTTGGGGCAAATCCAACACAACACATCACTGAGCACCACTCTTCATATTTTAAAGCATGGTGGTGGCTGCATGGCTGCATCATGTTATGGATATGCTTGTCATCGGCAAGGACTAGGGAGTTTTGTAGGATAAAAATAAACAGAATAGAGCTAAGCACAGGCAAAACCCTAGAGGAAAACCTGGTTCAGTCTGTTTTCCAACAGACACTGGGAGACAAATTCACCTTTCAACAGGACATTAACCAAAATACAAGGCCAAATATACACTGGAGTTACTTACCAAGGTGACATTGAATGTTCCTGAGTGGCCTAGTTACATGTTTTACTTACATTTGCTTGAATATCTATGGCAAGACTTGAAAATGGCTGTCTAGCAATGATCAACAACCAACTTGACAGAGCTTGAATAATTTTTTAAAGAATAATGTGCAAATATTGTACAGTCCAGGTGTGCAAAGCTCTTAGAGACTTACCCAGAAAGACTCACAGTCATAATCGCTGCAAAAGGTGATTCGAACATGTATTGACTCAGGGTTGTGAATACTTATGTAAATGAAATATTTCTGTATTTCATTTTCAATAAATTTCTAAAAACATGTTTTCACTTTGTCATTATGGGGTATTGTGTGTAGACGGGTGAGGAAAAAAATATATTTAATCAATTTTGAATTCAGGCTGTAATACAACATAAGTCAAGGGGTATGAATACTTTCTGAAGGCACTGTATGTTTAATTCACATGGCCCATGCGAGGGACTAAACCCACAACCTTGATGTTGGCAGCATTATAGTGTAACTGTCTGAGCCAGTTGGACCAATTATACCCTCCACACCATCTGCCCTGCTGCTTTGTTGATGTGAGGTGTTTCATTTGCCCTGGTTCAGTACCTGTAGTTCTGCAGTGGTTCGTCTCAGAGCAGAGCTGTGGGAAGGCATTAAGAGGGAAGCATTGTTACCTAGCTGTTTTCAGCCGCTGACAAGATAATAATGGTGGGAAGAGGCCTGACTTTCAGGGATGAGGTGTCATTGTCGTTGCAGTGAAATAGCGTTCCTTTCTTGGCAGGAACGGACAGTTTTTTTCTCTCTCTCTCTCTGGTTGTGTCCCGGGAATGGTGCCAGCCTAAGCAGGTTTACTCAGGGTGCAATGAAGCACTCTAATTCATCTGAATACAACAGCTGGAGGCTGATGATTTAAAACATGTAAACATCCTTTACCAAGCACATCATGGAATCTAATGGCCGTAAAGACATTACTATGTTTTCTTCTAATTGCAATCTGAGATCTCTCTCCTAATATAACGCTGGTTTATCAAAAATTCTGTTGTGTTAGTGTAATTCATTTCACAGCAGTACATATTACACCATGGCTAATCACTCTGAGAGCGAATGACGATTGTAATCAGATATAATCAACATCACTGTTAATTGTAAATATCACTGTCACTTTCTCATTACAGATTAGGTTGAATATATTTTTCAGAATTGAATTCTATCATGAAAGTATATATTAATAGATTTTTGTTCATTCCTGCGATGCCCCCTTTCACTCGTTAAACCTGACACTTACCCTGAAGCAAAGTAATATTTTTTGCTGCTTTTCTGTTTGGCTGTTGTGCCTCTACACATGAGCTTGCTCTGCCAGGAGCTGGCTGGGGTCTTGGTATTTCAAACAGAGACACAGACCCACATTTAGTTCTGCCTCTTTCTATTAACATATGCGTCACACAGTATCACTTCCATTCTCCCCCATGGCGGCCCGGCAAACCAAGTCCCATGTGCTCTCTCTAAAGTGATCCCTTAATGTCGTCTGACTTTATCAGCCAAAATGAACAGAATCATATAAATAAATAAATAAATAAGCGGAGCAGAACGACGAGGGGCCATTAAACCTCTCCACACTTGTCTGCCTTTCAGAGGAGTTCCAGAACTTTTTGCGGAGACTCCCGACGTTCTACGCCCTCAACACATCTGCCATCCAGTACTTCTGGAAGATGGAGCCGGCCGTCCACCAGCGCTACAGACAGCTGGAGCTCAGCAGCAGACAGCTCATCGCCAAATCCAGACGAATTGTCAAAAAACTCTTCACCCTCAGCAAGAGGTGTCGGACACAGCCTAAAGTCATTGTGCTGAGAGAGAGGTGAGAATATATTATGATATATGATAAACATTGCCAGTGATGTTTAGCAGGCATGGATGTGCATGAAGAATCGGGGGGGGGAGAGAGTGACAGAGACAGGTGAGAAGATGCTATGATAAACATCGTTAGTGACCTTTAAATGACATCAATATGGATGAAGATTCAAGCCTCAAACTGGTAGTTATTTCTGTGCTATCTCTGGATGGGGTTTCAAACTAATAACATGGTAATAAACACGACACTTTGCTTTCAGCAGAGACCTGAGAAGGGCTTTTGTAGAATTGAAAAAGAATTGTTCCGATGCTGATGACTTGGTCCCGGTCTAGGCTCCCTCCAAAACATCCAGGCCCTGTAAGCAATCCCCCTGAGTATCCCTTTTGTGCCTGAATAGACTCGGGGATGTTGTGAATGTCCCAGTCTAAAATGGCTGCTGTTCAGACATACACATTGTTGATAGGTGAGGGGAGAGAAATTCTGTACTCTGCATATTGCTTTGACATTTCTGAACTGATGTTTTATGTTTCTTATGTTCAAAAGAGTTCACAGGCAATCAATCAGAACATGAGATAGCAGCTCCAATTTCACCAACCCACTTGTCGGGTGAAACTCTGCTGTGCTCGTGTTTTTTTTCTTCATTTTCTTCTAAATTTGTTGTAGAAAACGTTTCACTTGGCAAAATCAGCCCATATTTATTTGTCATGGGAAAATTCATCCAACTTTAACAAGCATAGAGGACTGATTAATAAAACTTAAACTCTATTTCATACATTAGATATACTGAGATTGCTTTTATTTTCACAGACTATAATAATAATAATAATAATAATATGCCATTTAGCAGATGCTTTTATCCAAAGCGACTTACAGTCATGCGTGCATACATTTTTGTGTATGGGTGGTCCCGGGGATCGAACCCACTACCCTGGCGTTACAAGCAACGTGCTCTACCAGCTGAGCTACAGAGGACCACATACAGAGAATACAGTAGTTACCTAGCTTGATACTCTGACTAATACGGTCAGCCATAATTCATGTCATAATTCATTAATGTTTATTATTTAGATACAAAATCCCATTGAGAGAGCATCCTTTTCATATGGCTTTCCTTTTACTCTTATTTTTCGCTGTCAAGGACTATATTTGCTTATTTTTTTATTAAACTACTTATAATGGATGTGGCCATGAGGTTCTCATAAGCTGTGAAAATACAGCCACAGAAAATTAGTACTAGTCTCCTAGTACTATTGCTATTGGGGCTCTAACACAGAAGTGATCGTTTACATGAAGAGTCTGACATATTTGTCTTAATGGGTTTTAGTAAAGCAATACAAGCTGCTCTCTACCCTTTCCATTTCCATTATAGGTTTCTTTGCCCCTTCCATTTCCCATAAGGTTTCTCAACCTTATGGTGTTTCACCAAATTGTTTCATGGACGCAATTCATTAAGTAAATCCAGTTATTTACAGAGAATTGGGTGCCAGCACAGAGATGTAGAGACACAGGGCTCTATTTTCGGCTGGTGCTAAGGAGGCGCAGGTTAGTTTGCAATAATGTAAAAACTGATGCACTGGATTTTGAGAGCGGTAGCGCAGCCTATCCAGCCATGATGCACAGTACCCATGGAAGGAGAGATGTGCCTTTTTTGCCGGTGAATCTCGTATTTAGAAACATGAAAAAACTATTTAGTTTAATTTGATTAAAAAAACAAGCATAGCCTACCCTCCCCTTAATCAAGGCTGGTTTAGCAGCATCGCATAGCTACGTCTTTTTATCCTGCCATTAGCCAAGTAGCCTTTGAATAAAGGGGTTTTAAATGGTCTACTGAGAGTGCTTTGAAATATTTTTGATGCAACTGGTCAGGACGCTCTCTATGGTGCAGTGGTAGTATTTGTAGAGGACCAAGGGCAGCATGCCAAATTTCTTCAGCCGCCTTAGGTAATAGAGACTCTGTTGTGCCCTCTTGACAAGAGTGGTGGTTTTATTTGTCCATGACAGGTCCTCGGTGATGTGGACTCCGAGGAACGTAAAACTCGTGATTCTCTCTACTGCAGTCCCGTTGATGTGGATCAATGGTAGGCTATCCATCCCCTCGTCCGATTACCAAAGACATGCTCCTCCAAACTATTCAGTCCTCCTATAATGGCATATCAACAGCGTAAAAAATAAAAAACTGGCTCGCACATAGGCAACGGTACAATTGACAGGAGCCTAGTATTTTTGTAGACTTGCGAATGTTATGCGTAAAGACATTTAGGCCTAAGTGTGCACACAGTGCCATGGAACGAGAGAAGCGATTTATAATATGTTTCTGACTCGATCCTATTTAGACATTGTTGTTGGTTTAAAAAACAGATTGATTGATTGTTTTTCATTTAATTTGATTAAAAACCAAAACTTATTAGAAAGATTCACCGTCCATTGGTTTATGGTGAGAACATACACTACCGTTCAAAAGTTTGGGGTTACTTAGAAATGTCCTTGTTTTCGAAAGAAAAGCAATTTTTTGGTCCATTAAAATAACATCAAATTGATCAGAAATACAGTGTAGACATTGTTAATGTTGTAAATGGCTATTGTAGCTGGAAACGGCTGATTTTTTAAAAATGGATTATCTACATAGGCGTACAGAGGCCCATTATCAGCAACCGTTAGTCCTGTGTTCCAATGGCACGTTGTGTTTGCTAATCCAAGTTTATCATTTTAAAAAGCTAATTGATCATTAGAAAACCCTTTTGCAATTATGTTAGCACAGCTGAAAACTGGGCCACTCAAGAACATTCACTGTCTTCTTGTTAAGCAACTCCAGTGTATATTTGGCCTTGTGTTTTAGGTTACTGTCCTGCTGAAATGTGAATTAATCTCCCAGTGTCTGGTGGAAAGCAGACTGAACCAGGTTTCCCTCTAGGATTTTGCATGTGCTTAGCTCCATTCCGTTTTTCTTTTTATCCTGAAAAACGCCCCAGTCCTTAACAATTACAAGCATACCCATAACATGATTCAGCAATCACTATGCTTGAAAATATGGAGAGTGGTACTCAGTAATGTGGTATGGATTTGCCCCAAACATAACACTTTGATTTCAGGACAAAAAGTAAATTACTTTGCCACATTTTTTGCTGTATTACAGTAGTTCCTTGTTGCAAACAGGATGCATGTTTAGGAATATGTGTATTATGTACAGGCTTCCTTCTTTTCACTCTGTCAATTAGGTTAGTATTGTGGAGTAACTACAATGTTGTTTATCCAGCCTAAGTTTTCTCCTATCACAGCCATTGTAACTGTTTTAAAGTCACCATTGGCCTCATGGGGAAATCCCTGAGCGGTTTCCTTCCTCTCCAGCAACTGAGTTAGGAAGGACGCCTGTATCTTTGTAGTGACGGGGAGTATTGATACACCATCCAAAGTGAAATTAATAACTTCATCATGCTCAAATGGGTATTCGATGTCTGCTTTTTTATTGTTCTTTATTTTTATTCTACCAATAGGTGCATTTCTTTCCAAGGCATTGGAAAACCTCCCTGGTCTTTGTGGTTGAATCTGTGTTTGAAATTCACTGCTCGACTGAAGGACCTTAAAGATAATTGCATGTGTGGGATACAGAGATGAGCTAGTCATTCAAAAATAATATTAAAGGCCTCCCGAGTGGTGCAGCGGTCTAAGGCCCCAGGTTCGATCCCAGGCTGTGTCACAGCCGGCCGTGACCGGGAGACCCATGAGGCGGCGCACAATTGGCCCAGCGTCGTTGGGGGAGGGTTTGACCGGCCGGGATTTCCTTGTCCCATCACGCTTTAGCAACTCCTTGTGGTGGGGCCGGGTGCCTGCAAGCTGACTTCGGTCGCCAGCTAGACGGTGTTTCCTCCGACACATTGGTGCGGCTGGCTTCTGGGTTAAGCAAGCAGTGTTTCAAGAAGCATTGCGGCTTGGCAGGGTCATGTTTCGGAGGATGCATACTCTCGACCTCTGCCTCTCCCGAGTCGCAGCGATGGGACAAGACTGTAACTACCAATTGGATATCACAAAAGTGGGGAGAAAAAGGAGTAAAAAGTACAAAAATAAATAATATTAAACATTATTATTGGACACCGAGTGAATCCATGCAAATTATTATGTTACTTGTTAAGTTCATTTTTACTCCTGAATTTATTTAAGGCTTGCCATAACAAAGGGGTTGAATACTTATTGACTCAAGATATTTCAGCTTTTGATTTTTTATTAATTTGAAAAACATCATTCCATTTTGACATTATGGGGTAATGTGTGTAGGTCAGTGACAAAACAATCTCAATTTATTCCATTTTAAAATCAGGCTGTAACAACAAAATGTGTAAATGGTCAAGGGGTGTGAATACTTTCTGGTGTATTAGAATAAATTATTGGTACCATTATTGTCTTTACATTCTTTTATGTTTTACACAAAGATTGACCACAAAGGTTGCAATTTTTCCATTCACTATAATGGGGGGATCCTGTTTTCTGCTAACAATGCCTGCAGTACCGCGGTCGGCCTTCAACCTCCGTGGCTTCAATGAGAGGGGGCAGTCGTTCTCCCCTGGTACTGACAGACTGACTGCTATATGTAACACCTCTTCAGTTGCCACCCACCTTCTCTTTCACTTCACCCCATCTCTCATGCAATACGACTCCAGCAGTATTTACATATCCCCTGCCATGAAGTATTCTTGGGTCGGCTTGGTGGGAGAACAGTGAGGAGAGATATGCACAATACCCATGTGGGCGACAAGACCAGGCCCAGTAGATATAAATGTTTCTGAAGCTATAAAGAGAATTGATTAACATACACAGCCAAATGTCTTATAGATAAATAACCCATTATAGATACGTTTTAAAGGAGAACATTTTATTTTCTGCTTATCCACTTCCATATATTTTCATAAACTGTCGTCAATTCTTCATAAACTGTTGCTGTGTGCACATATACCCACATAGATACTGCATTTATCATTGTTTACAGTATGTCTCATCTGGGGTTTTGAAAATACC